TACATTGACCTGCCAATATTTTGGACTGCCATTGGGTTTTCTTTTTGTGTCTGCATCAGCCAACATATTATGGTTTTATTACAACATATTACTAGAGCATTCACCAGCCACGCTTTGAAATCGAGTAAACTGCAGGCTTTCTGCTCCCATCACTGTTAATGATTTGCTAGATTTGTAAATAAATGATTCTCTTTTGTTTTAACTGAGACTGTTGTATGATTTGTTTTCATTGTTTTATTTCTATCATGTCAATGGAGGAAGGAAAAGCAACATTGGTCTAAAAATCCCCAGCTTTTAGACAGGATCAGTTTTAGTAGCCAGGATCAGTTAGATATAAAAATGAATCAGTATCAGCATTAGAAAACATGTATAGGTCAATCTCTAGTAAGGATATCATCGTTCTGGAATATTTTTAACTTACAGATGCAGGCGACATGTCCCATTCCTTTGCAGGCTCAGTCCCGCTGTCGTCCTTTTCACTTCCACCTTGTAATTTTTTGCTAACAGGCTCCTCTGCATCTAGGATATCCAAGGCCTGCTGGAACTCTTTAGCAGCATACTAAAATAAACAAAAATAAAACCATCTATGAGATCATCACCATTATTACACATGTATGAAAATACTTATAAAATGGTGTTTTAAATATACTTACATGACACTTAGCAGCAAGATACTGACAAGCTCCATACAACTAAGAGAAAAAAAAAGTCAAATATTTATTTTTATGAAAGGGTTTACTTTAAAATTTGAATCAAGCTAAAGAATCCAAATTCTGCTCACTTTGTCAAGTTTTCTTGAACGGAGGGCATGTGAGGCTCTGTGGTACTGTGAGGTTAGGTAAAGGCACTGAGCTAGCCAGTAGATATCCTGGGGATCTTCTGCATGCCAACAAAAAAAAAAGAAAAGAAAGAGTCATTACATTTCAATTACAATGGTAAGAGGTTTTATAAAATATATATATAAAAAAAGATATTGTAAATCTGTTCAGGATCCCTACACATTATGTCAAAAATCATCCCCTATACAGACATCAAAACATTTGATTTAATCTTGGAATCAAAAATAAATTTCAATTAAATGTCAAACAAAATTGATAGTGTCACTCATCTAAGCGCTTTAATTGTCTAGGTTGTGTAGGAACCCTGTGTTTTTTGCTAGAATTCAGCAGTCATGGTCCAAAGCTACTTAACTGAGCAGGAACACAAACAAAAATAATCTTTGTAAAACAACCAACACAACTTTCAGAGATGTTATATCAGGATAAAGAAAATAAAAAATAAATATATCTTAATAGATGATAGGGGAGGAGAAACGAACATGTTTTTGTTTGTTGTTGTTGTTTTTTTAATAGCCAGGAGTTTTTTTTTTCTTTTTGTTTGATTGATTAATACTTTCTTTTAATGAATTAATTCCACTTATCCTTCTTTGTCTGGGTCCCGCCATGGAGCAATTAACGTAGTGTTAAGTCCTGACAACAGGGCATATTAAAAGATAATGAACCAATTTAAGCCCAAAACACGCAGCTCCACCTGTTAGGCTGTGTTGGGGCACTAGTCTGGATTACATTCTATTAGGTTGGAAGGAGTAAAGGTTCTGTTTATTAACGAAGGTAATGTAACACGAGACAACGGACTGCAACTCACCATGAGAAAGGGATGCTATCTTGTCGGCCCAAAACAGCGCACTTTGATACTGTTGCTATAAACAAACATACAGGGACGAACCGGGTTAAATTATATATGCAGTTTTCGGTTAGATTACATTCACGGTTTAGTTCATAACCTGTTGAATTGTGCGTTTTTTATTACTTTTTAAAACCAAGTGTGTTGAAGTTAGCATCTGCTAGCGACAGATAAATCAACAAAGGCTCCAGTTCTCTCACCTGGTCAATGTACTGCCGAACTCGTTTTCGGAGCCTATCGAGGTTCATTTTGTTTTGTTTATGTGTTGACGTTGTGACTTTTAAAATAGAGACATTACCGGAGAGTGGACCCACGAGCTAACTGGTTAGCTTCGGAAAATCAAATCCGCGGCTTCCCCGCAGAGCGTGTTCTGCCTAACAGTTCCGTAAAGAAACTCGAGTAGCACGAAACGTTCCGCCTCAGAACTTTGCATTATTAATTATTACAAAATCGATGTAAATTACCCCGAAAATATCAAAAGCACCCTTTCATATATATATATCTTTATAAAGTCTCTCATTTGAAGTCACACAGTTAAATATTAGTTTACCCTTTGTACATGTAAAAACAGTTTATTACAACTGTTAACATTGACTGTGTAATAAGCAAGAGATATAGCCTCATGCATTGCAATATACAATCCTTTATTTAGTATTTTCTGATCTATTTATTTAGGATTTTCTGATCTCATGATAGAATACATTAATTAAAGTTACTTGTTAACATATTCCTTCCAAATGTCTGACATAAAATTATAATCACCTTTAAATTAATGCATTAAATTCCCCTAACAAAAAACTTTTTTGTTTGTTTGTTTGTGTTGGTTCATTAGTGTATTATTAAAGTTCATTGCTTGGTTTATAGTCATATAATCATAAAGCTGTTAGAATAAAAAAGTAGTGGATGCCAGATGTGGTGAAGTTTAACAATGAGACCCCTAGCTTTTGTTTGACTGAATTTGGAAAGTGTTTAATCGTTAAGGTAGTGAAAAAGAAAAAATAATTTAACTACAGGTAATGATGGCTATGTGCATTGTAAGCCTGCCACGATTTACATATTTCTTTATTGATGCATTGAGGAAATCAAGGGGTTCTCCCTTCACTTTTATGAGCGCATTACAACCGTAGAAGAACACAGGACAGAGAATCTAAGGGAGGGTTTGACATGTCCCCTCTGGCCAAAGATTGCTTTTGGATAACCCAGAAAAAGCTGTAATGAAGCATTAGGAGAGGTTTTTTGGCTTTGAATCCTGAAATGATTAACCATATAACCTGATCTTTCTGAATATCTCCAGCAGTCTGTGGGTAAAAAGTGAGGTACACCATGGACGGGTCACCAATTAATCACAGGGCAACTCATGTAACCATGCACGCACACACAAACAAACCTAAGGGAAATTTAGAAATGCAAGTTAGCACTCATGGTTTTGGACTGCGGAGGTAAAACTGAAGTACATGGAGAGAACCTGCAAACTCCATGCAGAAAAGCAGGAATCCAACCCAGAACATTTGCTGCAAAGCAACTATGCTACAAGCTGTACCACTATGCAGCCAGCCAGCAAAGATCATCAAGAGTTAAAAAAAAATCCTTTTTCCAAACTGTGTATTTAATATAGTGGTCAGTTTAACTTAGTAATCAGATTAAATACAAATAATCGAGTTGCCAACTATCAGATGTAATGCTGATTTTAAATGGGCTTACAGTGCTTAACTAGTATTGAACGCACTTAGGTTAGAAGAGGACATTTTGCAGTTTTCGACAATATAAGGACGGCATAAAACTGATTAATACAGGGTGTTTGCAAATATTAAAAATAATTGTGAATTTAAGCAAAGCTAAAAATATCGACCACAGTAGTAAACTTAGAGGTAAAGGGAACACTGATGAATGAATCCCATTCAGATGGTGACCTTTAATGAATGAACATTAATGCAACACTGGCCTCTTGTGTCCAAAAGAGGCAACAGCATTTGGTGCTGTTGTACGAGAGTGGTTGGAGTTTTTGCATTTGATGAATCAAAAGTATATGTGTGTGTGTGTATATATATATATATATATATATATATATATAT